TAATTTCTTTCTTCAGTGCCTATAATTTTCAGTATACAAGTCTTTTGTTCCCTGGCTAAGTTTATTCCTAAGAACTTTGTTTTTTTTTTTTAATGTTTTATTTATTTTTGAGAGAGAGAGAGTGCATGAGTGGGGGAGGGACAGAGAGAGAGGGAGACACAGAATCCAAAGCAAACTCCAGGCTCTGAGCTGTCAGCACAGAACCGGACGCGAGGCTTGAACTCACGAGTCATGAGATCATGACCTGAGCCGAAATCAAACACTTAACCTAGTGAGCCACCCAGGCACCCCAGGACTTTATTATTTTTGAAGCTATTGTAAACAGATGTTTTCTTAATTTCATTTTCAGATAGTTTGTTGCTGGTGTATAGAAATGCAACTGGTTTTTATATTTTGACTTTGTATCCTGAAACTTTACTGAATTCATTTATTAGTTCTAACAGTATTTTGGAGGTGTCTTTAGGGTTTTCTACATATAAGACGATGTCATCCACCAGTGGAGATAATTACTTCTTCCTTTCTGATTTGGGCGCCTCATGTTTCTTTTTCTTACCTAATTGCTCTGGCTAGGACCTCCCAACCCTATGTTGATTTAAAGCGGCATTCTTGTCTAGGAAAAGCTTTCAGTTTTTCACCATTGAGTATAATATGAGCTGTGGGCTTCTCATAGATGGCCTTTAAGGTAAGTTCCTTCAATACCTTGTTTCTTGAGAGTTGTTGTTGTTTTTTTTATCGTGGATGTGTGTTGAATTTTGTCAAATGCTTTTTTACATCTATTGGGGTGACCGTATGATTTTTTTTAATGTTTATTTATTTTTGAGAGAGAGACAGAGGATCTGAAGCAGTCTCTGTGCTGACCAGCAGAGAGCCCGATGCAGAGCCCAAACCCACGGTTTATAATATCATGACCTGAGCTGAAGTCAGATGCTTAACTGACTGAGCCACCATGGCGTCCCGAAACGATCATGTGATTTTTAACCTTCATTCTGCTAATGTGGTGTATCACATTTTTAAAATTTGCTTATGTTGAATTATCCTTGCATCCCAGGAGTAAATTCCATGGCGTCATGGTATGCAGTGTGCTGTTGAAGTTGGTTTACTAATATGTTGCTGATAATTTTTTTTACCTTTGTTCATCAGGGATATTGGCCTGTAGTTTTCTTTTCTTCTGGTGTCTTTGTCTGACTTTGGTATCAGAGTCATACTGCCCTCATGAAACAAATTTGTTAGTGTTTCCTCTTATTCTATTTTTGGAAAAGTTTGAGAGGGATCGGTGTTGATAATTTACATGTTTGTTAGAATTCACCTGTGAAGCTATCTGGTATTAGGCTTTTATTTCTAGGATACTTTTTATTACTGTTTCAATCTTCTTATTAGTTATTGGTTTCTTCAGGTTTTCTATTCTTCTTGATTCCATTTTGGTAGCTTGTATACTTCCAGGAATTTATTCATTTCTTCTAGGTCATCCACTTTTTGGCATGTAATTTTTTTATTATAGTCCCTTATGATCTTTTTTTAATTTCTGTGGCATCAGTTGTGATGTCTCCTCTTTCATTTCTGATCTTATTTGTTTGAGTCTTCTCTCATTTTTTATGGTCAGTCTAGCTAAAAGTTTGTCAATTTTGTTCATCTTTTTTTAAAAGAATCAACTCTCTTATCGATATTTTTATTTTGTTTTTTTTTTCCCCCCCTAATTCGTGTTTGTGCATTTGAAGAAGGAGTCACCTCCTCCAGTCTTTACAGTCTGCCTTTGGCAGGAAACATAAACCCTCCACCAGTCACCATGGGTGGGATTCTGGGGAGACCAGTGAGCAGGGTTCATCAGCGAGCCTGCTGTCTGGGTCCATGGATGTGTGGACCATTTACCAGCATCTGGAGGTGGGTCCACTGCTAGGTTCATGAATAGATAGGTAAGGTTATGGGCTTGATAAAGCCTCTTTGAAATAAAGCAAGGGTGGTATGTGAATACCGAAGAGGGAGACATAACCTGGATCACAGATGTGTAGGAACTTAATGCTACTTGAAGGTAGTTACATTTGAAATGGGTCTTACAGGTTAAGGTAGAACTAGCCAGGTTTAAACCAGGCAGGGATGGGGCACCTGGGTGGCTCAGTCAGTTAAGCAGCTGACTTCGGCTCAGGTCATGATCTCTCGCAGTCTGTGAGTTCAAAACCCTGCATCAGGCTCTGTGCTGACTGCTCGGAGCCTGGAGCCTGCTTCGGATTCTGTGTCTCCCTCACTCTCTGCCCCTCCCTCCCTCTCTCTCAAAAATAAATAAATATTATAAAAAATTTTGCAATTTAGAGGAGTCCAGATGACTGCAGAGGGGCCGAGCCAGAGGTGTACTGGTAAATGTTTAGCACCTAACATTATAGGAGGAATAAAAAATCCATAGATCTCAAATTTCTGGCGATTGTCAACTTCTATAGTAGGAACACCACCACCACTGTCAGTCAAAGCCACGAGCATCATGGCAACTGCTTCACAAACTATCTAAAAATTTAACAAGGGGCTTTTGTGAATTTGTACCCACTGATTCCAGGACACCAATGGGCAAGACTTCAGACAGGAGGCTACTGCATGCTTTCCACCCCAGCGTGGTGTTATGATTGGCACAGTTTTTTTTATTTAGTAGCAAAGGAAAATCAGAGAAACAGATGCGTTTAAAAAACAAAGATCCAGCGGGCTCTCCATTTGAATAGAGGCTTCCTCTTCCTTGAATAAGAATTTTTTACCAGGTAGGAGTAGCTCCTTTAGTGCCCACAAATGACCTCGCATTGCCTCCCTCAATTCTTCTGGAAACATCTCTGCTTTCTCACTGAAAATGAATGGCCTTGGTGAAGTAACGTCAGTGTCTCCCAAACTTTTACTCCGATATCAGCTGTGATTTGAGGCCAGCCTTACAGGTACAACAGGCCTCATCTGGCCCAAGTTTAAGGTGTCCTTGGAGCCCATTCCTAGAATGCCCCTGTGATAGTGGCCGGTGGTCCTGGGTTTCTGAGTGTTAGATGCAGGAAAGAGATGCTATCATGACTCTTCTCTTCCAAGAGGATAAGTCCAGCATTTTGCTGCTTGAGCAAGCTCTGCAACTCGAAGACATTCTTGATCTGGTTGGTCTTCATTTGATGGGGAGGGAGGGGGGGTATTTCTCCCAAGTCCCTTCCTCATGGAATTCTTCCAGCGGACTTCATGGTATTGCTTCATTTTTTTAAAGTTTATTTTGAGAGAGAGAGAGAGAGAGAGAGAGAGAGAATGAGCAAACGGGGAAGGGGCAGAGAGAGAGAATCCCAAGCAGGTTCCGAGCTGTCAGTGCAAAGCCCGATGCCAGGCTTGAACTCACGAACCCATGAGATCATGACCTGAGCCAAAATCAAGGTTCGGTCACTCAACCGACGGAGCCACCCAGGTGCCCTAGTATTGTTTCATGTGTAAAAGTGAGATGAGAAATAAGTTGATAGTATCTGACTATTTAAGAAATAATTAAGTATCCGAGGTGTGTTGGGTAGAATTCCATATGCATGTTTGCAACCTCACATATGGCTAGAAAATCCTCATGAGGGGCGCCCGGGTGGCTCAGTCAGTTGAGCGTCTGACTTCAGCTCAGGTCATGATCTCACGGTTTGTGGGTTTGAGCCCCGTGTTGGGCTCTGTGCTGACAGCGCAGAGCCTGGAGCCTGTTCCGGATTCTGTGTCTCCCTCTCCCTCTGTGCCCCTCCCCTGCTCACACTCTGTCTCTGTCTCAAAAATAAATAAACATTAAAAAAAATTTTTTTTAAAGAAAAGAAAATCCTCATGAAAAGGGTGCTATTATCTTTCTTCACCTATTTCTTCTTGTTCTTCTTATGCTTGCTTCTCATTCTTCTCATTCTCCTCCTCCTCCTTCATTTTCCTGATGACAGGGACATTGAGGTTTAGAAATATTTAATCACCTTGGGCACGGTATATACCCAGCATGTTGCAGGACCATTAAATAACTCCAAATTATCACCAGCTCAGGTATAAATTATTCTACACCAAGACCCCACCCTGGTTTCATCCTCAAGTTTAATTCTAGGCATCTCATTCATGGAGACACAATATTCCAGGATTTCCCTCAAAAAGACTTAAAAAAATTTTTTTTTCAATGTTTATTGATTTTTGAGAGACAGAGACAGAGTGTGGGTGGGGGAGGGTCAAAGAGAGGAGACACAGAATCCGAAGCAGGCTCCAGGCTCTGAGCTGTCTGCACGGAGCCCGACGCGGGGCTCGAACCCACGAACTGTGAGATCGTGACCTGAGCTGAGGTTGGAACTCAACAGACTGAGCCACCCAGGGGCCACTCAAAAAGACTTGAAGAACCAGAATAAAGATTCTCAGGAAATGTCATTGTTCCTGAGATAAACAGTTTCTCTGCAAGGACAGCCGGGAATCCAGCTTAGCTCCCAAGTCTTTCGTGCCCATTTAGCATAAATGGAGCTTTGGACCTTAATCCAAGTGACTTGCATTTGATTCCCTTTCTGGTCTGAATATCTAACATACTCATCCATTTTCATGCCCTGCAGCCCACTCAGATCTAGTGTTTAAAAAGTCCTTGTTGTGGGGCGCCTGGGTGGCCCCCTCGGTTAAGCAACTGACTTCAGCTCAGGTCATGATCTCATGGTTCATGGCTTCATGCACCACGTCGGGCTCTGTGCTGATGGCTCAGCGCCTGGAGCCTTCTTCAGATTCTCTGTCTCCCTCTCTCTCTGCCCCTCCCCCTCCTCGTGCTCTGTCTCTCTTGTGTCTCAAAAATAAATAAACGTTTAAAACAAATTTTTTTTAAAAAAAGTCCTTGTTGCTACATAATTATCCTAAAGCTCCTTTCACTCCTGAATTCACCTTTCACATGCAAGGGCATCTTTGGTGTCTCTATCTCCTACTAAATATAATAGCAAATGGCCTAGCTTATCCTCCGTGAGGGGCCTCCTGGTGCCTACGTTTTGTGACAACTGAACAGTTTCGTGTTGCCATCGTTCTTAAAGGTTTTGAGATCCAGCATGCAAGAGGAGCTAGAGGCAGCACAGAAAAAAATTTCTCTGCGTGATATATTCCGCACGCCTACACTGCGCAGAAGGATCTGTTTGATGTCCTTCGTGAGGTGGGTTTCGCATTGTGCATGAAGAATATTCAGTGGTGGGGACGTGAATCTATTCCCGTCAAAGGGTACAACCCGCTGCGGGGACAGATTTTGAGATAAAACATGGGGATGCTATAAAGAGAACTGCATTTTTAGGGGCACCTGGGTGGCCCAGTTGGTTAAGCATCTGATTCTTGGTTTCGGCCGGGGTCATGATCTCATAGTAGTGGGATCGAGCCCCATGTCGGGCTCTGCAATGACGACGTGGAGCCTGCTTGGGATTCTCCCTCCCTCTCTCTCTGCCCTTCCCTCTTCTCTCTCTCTCTCTCTCTCTCTCTCTCTCTCTCTCTCAAATAAATAAACATTAAAAAAAAAAGATAATTGCATCTTTTGGTTAAGGAAAGACTGACCCAGAGCTAATTGTACAATGAGTTTTATTTATTACATCACCTGCAAGGCTCATCAGCTGGAAACTGAGGCTGTGAACTTCAATCACAGTAAAGACTTTGGCTTGATGTTTCTTCACTTGTTCTTTCCCAGTTTAATCGAGATAAAACTATAAACAGTAAAGTGCACAAATGTATACTGTTCGATGAATATTTACATATGCGTACATGCAACGATCGCCCAAATGAGGATATAGAAAAAGAAATCTAAAACCCTAGAAAGCCTCATTATGTATTCTTAATAACTGTACCCTCACCCACCAAAAAAGGGTAACAATTATGACCTCCATCATCATGCAGTATTTTATGACAGTCTTTAAATCATTACCATGTAGAATATTCTATAAAACAGACCGTGCCTTTTTACCACCAACCACTGGCTGCCTGTCTGACAATATTTGCGATTGTCATTTGTAGAATAAGGTCTAAACTTCATGATGTCTATCTTTTTCTTTGGTTCCACAGGTTTTCAGTCTACATGTCTTTTTATGGCCTGATTCTCCACATCCAGCACATTGGAAGCAATGTTTTCCTGTCCCAGGTTCTCTTTGGCCTAGTCAACATCCCATCCAGTTATATTGCGGTTTTGGCACTGAATCATATAGGCCGTCGAATATGCCAGATGATTTTCTTTTCCTTCCTTGGAATCTCCATTCTGATCACCACATTTCTGCCCAAAGGTGAGAAAAGGGCACAGGTTGAAGAAAGGAAATAGCTCAGGGACTCAGGGACTGTGCTCACACAAGGAAAGGGAGAATATGTTTCTAATGATCCCCTAAAACCAATCTGAGGATTTAGGACAGATTCTACCATTAACGTGGTGGCTGGGAAAGAGCCAAAGGTCAGTACACGTTGGCTCGGACATATGGCTATCCTCATCACATGTGAGAAGTATCTGGTAATTGGTACCATTTCTTCCTAAAAAGTTTCTCTAGGAGAGCAGTGGACCACTTGCCCTTTGGCTATGACCAATCACGCTTGTAATTCTAAATGATGGTATTGTGTCCATTATATATAATTGTGTCCCATATGAGGAGACAATTTACCATCACTTCCTCTGCCTGGTCGCTTTCTGGTTACTACAGCTTCAGTGACAATTTACTCCCTGATGTCTAGTCTTGTATTAGGTCACCATCACTGCCATCCTGGTGTTGGGAACTTTTTGACTTCAAGGAAATCAAAGTATCTTGTCTTCAGGTGGAGAAGTATACCATAGAAATAAGCAGTTAAGGAGTTAAAGCCTCTCTTAGAATCAGTTTCGCTAAATGAAATGATCATATGTAATGAATAGGGGAACCCAGGTGGTCTCCACGCTTCAACTCCCAGCAAAGTTGTGCACTTTACAGGATCCCAAATGGACAGCTGTGCCCTGATCCTGGATGTCAGCAATGATACATGTTTGCTGCTGGACTACACAGCTTACTCCAATGTTATATAACGGTTTCATGAAATCTTTTAAAATTATCGAATACAAAACCAAACCCTGAAATTTTCTTCCAAAGGTCTCCAAAGTCCAACTATTTTTTCCCCTAATACGGATCTTTATTCTTAAATCTTCAAATATTACTCTAGATCAGGATGCCTGGGTGGCTCAGTCGGTTAACTGTCCGACTTCGGCTCAGGTCATGATCTCACGGTTGGTGAGTTCGAGCCCTGCGTCAGGCTCTGTGCTGACAGCTCAGAGCCTGGTGCCTGCTTCAGATTCTGTGTCACCCTCTCTCTCTTCCCCTCCCCTGCTTATGCTCTGTCTCTCACTCTCACAAATAAATACACATTAAAAAAGATTTTAACACATAGCACTCTAGATCGAGTTCCACTCCAGCTTATCCATACCATAAAACTCCTGTTCTTTTTTTTTTTTTTAATGTTTATTTGTTTTTGAGAGAGAGACAGAAAGAGAGTGAGTGAGAGGGGGAGGGCAGTGGGAGAGGGAAACACAGAATCCAAAGGAGGTTCCAGGCTCTTGAGCTGTCTGTACAGAGCTTGACACGGGGCGCGAACCCACGAACCGTGAGATCATGACCTGAGCCCAAGTCAGACGCTTAACTGACCGAGCCACCCAGGTGCCCTGAAACTCCTGTTCCTTTATTATTCTACTGCAGTACTAGCCCTACGTCAATATTGCGTACCCAGGGCTTAAACTTCTCAAGGATGTGGATAAGTTTCACATCCTTCAGTAATTATTCATATCACAGTCCTACTTTGTACATGCAAGGCAGAGGGAGACACTGGGCAGAATTAACGAAAGCAAACTCACGTTCCCCTCTCCATCTTTGGCAAATCTCTGCCATGTAAGAGAGAGGTAATGAAAATAACCCAGGTTTTTTTCATCTCTGTTGAAGTTGTAACATACAGATCGGTCACATTTCTCAGCTACTCGTCACTAGACATTCTCTGCCCTGTGCGCTTTCCCTGCGATGCGTCCAACACATGCGAATATTCTAATTGCGTCTTTTTCATTTATCATTTGGTGGACGGTGGTTCCCTTGGCTCTCATTTTCTTCCCGAGTCTCACTGGTCTTCCTCTCCAGAAATGCAGACCCTGCGTCTTTCTTTGTCATCCCTGGGAGTCGGAGTTTCTGCAGCAGCTGTTGTGAGTTCTTCTACCCATGGAAACGAACTAATCCCTACCATAATCAGGTACAAATCTCATGGAAGGTCCCATAGGGGCAACACAGACCATTCCCAGCTAGTGAACATTTATAGCAGGAAGAAAACTGAGTCATTATCCAAAGCATCAGTTATAATAGCATTGGCAGTAACAAAAATTGCAGCTGGAAATTATTAAAATCTGCTTTGGCTAGGCACCGTGTTGAGTTTTTTAACGTATCCCCTCACCTAATCTATTGAACCACGAAATCCACTGAACTACGGATAAGAGTAGTTTTTAAATAATGAAAATCTGTCCTAATGGCACTTGAAAAAAGTTGCCAGCAAATGACAGAGCATATTTGAAATGTAAGAGTATATTGTCAACCTTCATGTATCTAAGCACTGTTGTGGTATCTCCCATAATCAAAGCAAAATAATAAATCACCAATTACATGTGTGGATTTATACCAAATTATTTTTGTATTGTTTGCACCCCAAGGGCAACTGTTACAGGAATCCTGGGGATTTCTGCTTATATTGGGGCAGCGCTGTCTCCCCTCTTGATGATCCTAACTGTGTATTCCCCCCACCTGCCCTGGATCACGTATGGAATCTTCTCCATCCTCGCTGGTCTTACTGTCTCACTCCTTCCTGAAACCAGGAATCAACCTCTGCCTGACTCCATCCAGGATGTGGAAAAGGAGTGAGTAAACCCCCTGGCTGTCCCTGAGGGGAGCTGTGTGCTCTAGGTCTGTAGTGAGGAAGGCAAGCCATCATTCAGGGTCACTGTCCCCAGGGAAAGATTTGTGAACATTTCTTTTTTAAGTAAGCCAAATGCCCAATGTGGGACTTAAGTAAGCCAAATGCCCAAGATCGAGAGTTGCCTGCTCATACTGACTGAGCCAGCCAGCTGCCCCTCCCAGGGAAAGATTTAGACCTGGACTGTTCCATGTGGCCAGTGCCTCTGGTTTAGCTATAGCCTCATCATTGCTGCCACTAACCTCAGACTCCCCCATGGCTCCCTAGATCAGTAGGTTTAGTGGTTGCAGGGGCCAACATTAGGTGACCTTGTGTGACATACACACGCCTGAAGGCATTTCACAAGCATGCACACATCCAAACACCAGACTCTCATCCCTCAGACCCTGGCAGCCCCCAGCCCGGGGAGTGCAGTCAGCTCCCCGGGGCTGCCGGTTCCTGTAGGCCTGAGGACTGTCCTGGCCACTGAAGAAACCTGAGCGAGATCAGGGAGAGGACCTGAGCCCCTCCCACAGATGACAATACATCTCAGAGAAGTCCTGTTATGTGGTCTGTGACATTCAGACCATCTGGGTCCACTAGGAATGAACCTGTTAAGAAAAGAAGGAAAGTAGTAAACCTAGGTATTTTTAAGTGATCAAGAATTGGAGAGGATTTTAAAACTTTGCATACTGCCCTTGCCTTTTCCAAATCCCTTTGGCATCTGGATCCTCTGTCATCCAAAAGTGAGAATCGAAACTACCAAAGCTGCCTTCCCAGATCCTGCCCCGGAAACTTGGTCTTCAGAAAATTTTTCAAACCCTTGGGGCAGGGGTCACGGATTTTATCAAAACGGGTGGGTCAAGAATCAACTTGCTCTGGAGAATGCAGGACATGTACGCTGACCTGAGGTCTTCTCACTTTTGTGCTTGTTTGTTGGTCTCATTGTGTTTTTACCAGGAGAAAAGCCTCAAGAAAAGTAAAGCAGGAAGATCCCTTCATGAAAGTGACACAGTTTTGAGGAATTCCAGGAGATAACTGCCACTCAAAGAGTAAGGTAGAAGAAGGAAAATCAGGACCGTTCCCAGAAATTGGAAAAGTTTGTAAAATAAAATAAAAAGATAGAATGGAATAACAGATCCCATCTACGATTGCAGGACTAAGTAACTATGGATAAAATATCTACAATGCATCAAAATAAGAAGTTTGAGAAAAGTTGTAGTACTTTTGAAAAAAGATTTTGTTATCCAAGTCTAGTTGACATACAATGTTATATTAATTTCAGGTACACCACATAGTGATACAATTCTGTATATTAAAAGTCATAATATTTTTAAAGGAATCATAGTAAAATCTATGTAAAATTGTAGACCTCCAGCATGTTTCTGGATAGAAAAATGGGATCGTATTAAAGACACTGATTCTTGATCCAAAACCAGACAAAGACCCCACTAAAAAGGAGAACAACAGACCAAGATCCCTGATGAACATGGATGCAAAAATTCTCAACAAGATACTAGCCAGCCGGATCCAATAATACATTAAAAGAATTATTCACCACGATTAAGTGGGATTTATACCTGGGATGCAGGGCTGGTTCAATATCCACAAGTGAATCAATGTGATACATCACATCAATAAAAGAAAGGACAAGAACCACGCGGTCCTCTCAATAGATGCAGGGAACGCATTTGACAAAATACAGCATCGTGTCTTGATGAAAACCCTCAAGAAAGTAGGGGTAGAGGGATCATACCTCAAGATCATAAAAACCATATACGAGAGACCCACCGCTAGTATTATCCTCAATGGGGAAAAACTGAGAGCTTTCTCCCTAAAGTCAGGAACATGACAGGGATGCCCTCTCTTGGCACTGTTATTCAACATAGTGTTGGAAGTCCTAGCCTCAGCAATCAGACAACACAAAGAAGTAAAAGGCATCCAAATCGGCCGGGAGGAAGTCAAACTTTCGTTCCTCGCGGATGACGTGATACTCTATGAAAAACTCCAAAAAATCCACCAAAGACTGCTAAAACTGATCCATGAATTCAGCAAAGTCGTAGGAAATAAAATCAATACACAGAAATTGGTTGCAATCCTAGACACCAATAATGAAGCAACAGAAAGAGAAATCAAGGACTCAGTCTTTGACAAAGCAGGAAAGACTATCCCATTGAAAAAAGACAGTCTCTTCAGCCAGTGGTGTCAGGAAAACTGGACAGCGGCACTCAGAAGAATGAATCTGGACCCCTTTCCTACACCAGACACAAAAATAAACTCAAAATGGTTGAAAAACCTAAACATAAGACAGGAAACCATCAAAATCCTCGAGGAGAAAGCAGGCAAAAACCTCTTTGACCCTGGCCGCAGCAACTTCTTACTCAACGCGTCTCCGGAGGCAAGGGAAACAAACGCAAAAATGAACTATTGGGAACCTCATCAAAATAAAAAGCTTCTGCACAGTGAAGGAAACATTCAGCAAAACTAAAAGGTAACCATCAGAATGGGAGAAGATATTTGCAAATGACATATCAGTTAAAGGGTTCGTATCCAAAGTCTATAAAGAACTTCTCAAACTCAACACCCAAAAAACACATAATCCAGTGAAGAAATGGGCAAAAGACATGAATCGACACTTCTTCAAAGAAGACATCCAGATGGTTAACAGACACGTGAAAAAATACCCAACGTCACTCAACATCAGGGAAATACAAATCAAAAGCACAATGAGATACCACCTCACACCTGTCAGAATGGCTAACAGGAACAACGCAGGCAACAACAGATGTTGGCAAAGATGAGGAGAAAGAGAAACCCTTTTGCACTGCTGATGGGAATGCAAACTGGTGCGGCCACTCTGGAAAACAGTATGGAGCTTCCTCAGAAAATGAAAAATAGAACTACCCTAAGACCCAGCAATTGTACTGCTAGGTATTTATCCAAGGGATGCAGGTGTGCTGTTTCGAAGAGGCACACGCACCCCCATGTTTATAGCAGCATAATCGACAATAGCCAAAGTATGGAAAGAGCCCAAATGTCCATGGACGGAAGAATGGATAAAGAAGATGTGGCATACACATACAATGGAGTATTACTGGGCGATCAAAAAGAATGAAATCTCACCATTGGCAACAATGTGGATGGAACTAGAGGCTATTATGCTAAACCAAATTAGTCAGTCAGAGAAAGGCAAATATCATATGACTTCACTCATATGTGGAATTTAAGGTACCAAACAGATGGACATAAGGGAAGGGAAGCAAATATGATATAAAAACAGGGAGGGGGACAGACCCTAAGAGACTCTTAAATATAGAGAACAAATGAGCATTGATGGAGGGGTTGTGGCTGGGGGGATGGGCTAAATGGGCAAGAAGCACTGAGGAAGACACTTGGGACAAGCACTGGGTGTTATATGTAGGGGATGAATCATGGGATTCTACTCCTGAAATCATTATCGCACAACATGCTAACTGACTTGGAGGTAAATTAAAAAAAAAACAAAAAAAAAAAACCAGACATTGCTTCTGTTTCAATTAATGGTAGAGTAGTTGATGGAGTAATTACCATGGAAAACTCCATTCTTTTGGAACAGCTCAGGAAAGAGTTCCAAGGGTAACTGCAAATTAATACTAGACAAGCTGATTCAGGAAAATGAGGCTCATAGAGGGAGAGTGGGGCAGGTTTGGGGGGCAGCGTTTGCCAGAATGAGATGCGAGTGTCTAAACACCAACAGCAGATGCATTTGCAAATCAAAAGAAGACCACGGGGTGCCTGGGTGGCTCAGCCCCTTACTCAGTTCAGGCCATGACCTCACAGTTCTTGAGTTCGAGGCCCCGCATTGGGCTCTTGTGGTGTCAGCACAGAGCCTGCTTCAGATCCTCTGTCCCGCTCTCTCTCTGTCCCTCCTGCACTCGCTCTCTCTCTCAAAAATAAAAAATCAACTTTAAAAAGAAAAATGAAAAGAAGTCCAGAACGATATGGTAGCATGTATAATACTTAAAACTTGATGATTTGGGCATCGTAAATCACTAGTAGAAATCAATGATTACATAAGTGCCATTAACTCACTTTGTAAATAAATGCTTAATAATTTCATTTTATTCTCTAAGCCAAAAAAATATATTCCATGCAATTAAAAAGATAAGTGGAGGGGGAGCCTGGGTGGCTCAGTCAGTTAAGCCTCTGACTTCGGCTCAGGTCATGATCTCACAGTTTGTGAGTTCAAGCCCCGCACTGGGCTCTGTGCTGACAGCTCGGAGCCTGGACCCTACCTCGGATCCTGTGTTTCCCTCTCTCGCTGCTCCTCCCCTGCTCATGCTCTGTCTCTCTCTCTCTCTCTCTCTCTCAAAAATAAATAAACATTAAAAAATTAAAAATAAAGATTTTAAATAAAAATTAAAAATAAAAATAATAATTTTTGTTAAAAATAAATAAGTACATAAATAAAAAGATAAGTGGAACAATTAAGCCATGTTATTCAGTACAAAACCTGCCTACGAGCTCTTGGGATTGAAAAAAATGTTCTGAATAGTCAAGCAAACGCCAGGAATGTAAGCAGAGGTAAATTGGACTGAAAACTCATTTAAAACCTCCATTGACAAGTCCTAGAGAAATAGGCAAAATCTAAAATAATATTCATAAAAGTGATAAAAGCTATTCACTTTTAGTGCTGTACTTTTATGAGATTTAAATTGTTTGTATTCTAAGCTTAAAAAGGATAATGCAACATTTAAAAATATTCTAACGTATCATCAAAAGTAAATTGCAAGAGAAATGAAATTTTTTCAAAATGACTATATATTAATATGTATATCTAAAAAATATGCATAAAAAATACATAATTTAGTATTAGGTAGTTAACAGCCAGGAGCATATACTTTTCAAAAGAAAAAAAAGTCTCCTAATCATAAAGCTATGAAAAAGTCTACAAAGCCAGTGGAATTTAAAGACAGTCAAACTAAAGTAGCATCCTTTGGTCTTTCCAAAAGACCAAAGATTTGTAAATAGAGATCTGTCAACCGATGGCAGAGTTATAAAATAACACATGCTATTGAACGTTCAACACACAGGATGGTGTCATTATGAAGAGCTTTAAAAGTCTTTAATTGATTCAGTAATCATTTATGCAGCATATAACAGCTCCCCAGCAATATGCTGGGAACCCGGGATACAAAGAGGAAATGAGAAAAAGAAAAACGTAAAAGCCGATGTAGCGGTTCTCGGTCCACGTGTGCACCTGCGACATCACGCTTTTATCTTCTACCCGCAACGAAATGGTACCGCTCAGTCCCTCCGGGCTGGTGGAAAATCGCAAATCCATTCATTTTCCCAAATCCTCCACATCGGAGCTATCTAGCCTCCGTCTTTAGGCTTCCTAGACCCTCAACTCCACAAGCTCTTCTCTTACTAGCTGTCCTGCAAGGCCTCTAGGTATCCCGTGGGCCTCAGAACTTGAAACAAAGTCAATCAGGCTTGGATTTTTTTGCCTTTCTCCTGCCAAATGCCTTCCAGGAGATCAAGAGGCACAGGAATGACAACCAGCAAGATGTGGTCTATAGTCCGCAGCTCTATTCCCAGGGAGGTGGGCCAGGAAGGCTCAGACCTCACCAGAACCCCAAAGGCAATGAGAAACTGTCTTATAACAGGCATTAGCAATGTCATCACCATTTTTTAAAAAAAAATTTTAATGTTTTTTTTTCATTTTTGAGAGAGGGAGAGAGAGAGAGAAAGAGAGAGAGCACAAGCAGGGGAGGGGCAGAGAGAGCAAGGGGGACAGAGGATCCCAAGCAGGCTCCAGGCTCTGAGCTGTCAGCACAGAGCCCCACGGGGGGACTCAAACCCATGAACCTCCTCGAGATCATGACCGGAGCCGAAGTCGGACCCTCAGCCTCCTGAGCCACCCAGGCACTCCTGCAATGTCGTCCTCACTTACCACGTGTCTTCAGTCTGCACAATGGACTCCATGACTTTATAATATCCACAACCACAGTTGGAAATTTTAGCAGTCCACAGTGGGGCACCAAGTATCA